GTCTATAGTCACTGAGGGCTGATGGGTGAATTTTCTTTGGTACTGGAACCAGACAGGATGTCTTCCCCAACACTGGCACCTTCTCCTGGGTCAAGCTAAGGTTGAAGAGGTGTTGCAGAATCCCAGAATTRAAGGACAAAATGTCATCTTGTGTTTTTGACCTGTCCAAATTTTGTTACAAAGCATTTAWTGTGAAAATGTGCATAGGTGAAATGTTATTTATTCACTGCTTGTCATTTTTTAAAATTTCACATCACTGTTGTTGTTCCTATGTTTGTGTTTACATTTTTTTTTACATTTTACACTGAAGTACATACTGTATAGATTAATGCAAACACAGAGTCATGTTTTGATGTATTTTAACTGGGTTCCATGTTTAAATGCTTTTGAACAGTAAATATGTGGAGCGGTATGACTCAAAGCAGGCAGCTCAACTAAATATTTATAGAGCTAAAACCGTGGCAGCCTACACTGAAAAATAAAACATTGTCACTAGAAAAAATAACAGTGACCTTGGAAAAACTTGTGATTATATTCTCATTTCACACTGCAGCTTCTTCTTTTATTCAATGAAATGAGTCAGACTCCCGAAACTGATGCAATCAAACAACTGTAGTTGCATCCCAACACTGCTGAATAAGTATACTTTCCTGAGAAATTATTATTTCAAGCTTCTTTTATTTACATTTGAGTTACCAAAAAACCATTAAAAGTTGTGTGGTAGTTTGATCCCCATATGTGGGTATCTTCTTCCATTTGGACGTACACCCGGTCACCTTCTTGGAGCTCCAGYAACACAGCGTTTCCTCCGTTATCAGCMGTGTCAGAGTCAGACGGGTGATCCTGGGCCATGACCATCACCTGCTCATTCTTGTAGAGGAAGAGCTTCGAGTTATTGTCTCCTCCAGCGTGGTAGAAGAAGCTGAAGTAATAGACACCTGCAACTGGTGCTGTGAAGATACCTGTAAAGAAAAAAAATACATTTCTCACAATTAACAATAAATAAATCTAAACATCTCTGAAAAAGTCATGATTTATTTATGATGAAGTGATTAAAACTTTAAGGATTGGATTATGTTAAAATTCTATGAAGGAATGTCAAGGTGTTTGTGTTATTGTGGTAAATACAAATACATCATTATAAAGAAACAATGACAACAATTTCAAAAAACCAAAAAGAACAAATCAACCTGCTGAGATTAAAAACATTGAGAAATTCTGCTGTGAAGTAACAGGAAGTGATGACAAAGTGGGAAATCTGCAGGTGAACAGATCATTGCTACAGTGGTTAATAACACKGACAGCAGCTAAGAATGTCTTAAAATATTTTGGGTCACCATCAGAGACAGTTCAAATAATATTATTTTGCCTTCCTATGCAATTATATCATATTCATCATTAAATTTGTTGCTTGAAGCTTTTTTTTTGGGGGGGGGGGG